TGCGTCCATAAATCCAACAGAAATGTATTGGTATAGGGTGTTTGAGATACCAGTCTCATACCCATTTCCCAATCTCATACAGTTCTCTTGTTAAACTAAAATATGACCCTTTCTACAAACTGTTTTCATCTTTATTAAACAGGAAAAAAAGGAAATCTGAATCACTTAGGTAGATATTTCATAACTCGTTACAACACCTGAAGAAGAAAAAAATCTTTGATATTTGACCATCTGTCTTAGAGAAAACTAACAGGGCACTGTAGAAAGGTACCAAAAAAGACCTAAGTTTGAGTGATTTTTGTCAATTCACCTAGACTGGTTTCCATCCAGTTCTCAGTGAAAGAACTTTTCCATTTTGACAATCAAACCAAAGAAATTTGAGCAGCAATAACTTTATCAGAAAAGGAAAGAAAAGTATACTTTCATATCCACAATGTGTCACACTTTCATATATTCTCTTAGCTAATCCTCACCATAGTAATGTGAGATAAATATTATTTCTACTTTATAGAAAAGGAAAGTGACAATATTTAAGTCCCTTGAATGGCAGGGACTATGTTTGTTTTCTCTATATTTCCAGCACTGAGCATGGGGCCTGGGACACAGTTCAAGAGCATGCTATATGCTTAAGAATGAATACATGACTAAAGAAAAGGAAAAGGAATCTGGAAAAAATACCCAATCCAAATTTTGCTCCAGGACCCTAACTAAAACGCACTTGCACCCTGCAATAATCTACTTGAGCTTCAGAGGTTTGTTTTAAAGGACAATTTATCATCTTTCCAATGTATACACCACAAGGGCATGGCGTGGCAGGGCAAAAGGGCAGGGCGTGGTCCTATCTCACTTCTTTCCCCCCAACTCAGCACCACACCTTGCACAAGTGAGTGTTTAATGAGATGGGTGATGACAAAGGTAATGATGACGCCTTCAGCCATCATGGGAGTACATAGAACACAAGATGCCCATAGCCACCAGAAGAACTGGTCTCTGAGTCAAGTTACCGCCTCTCTTGAGCCTCATTTTTTTCTCTGTACAATGGGAATAACAAAATATATTCAAAAGATGGTTTCCATTCATTTAATAAATATTTACTGAACCATACCATATGTCAGGCACTATGCTAGGGGACACAGTGATGAACATAACCATCACATCCTGCCTGGAGGAGCTCATAGTTTCAGTGGATGCTCTGAGACTCATGAAAAAAGTTTTACAAACCTCAAAGGACAACACAGTTATGAGGTACTGCTCCTCCTCTGGGTTTCTTAACTTGGTTAATGACATCATCATCCACCCAGTTGTCCAACTTGGGAATTGTCCTCAACTCCTCCCTCCTTCATCCTACCCACAAGTCCCATAAATCACCAAGATTCTTTTGATTCTCCTCCAGAAAAGTCTGACTGTATTACTTCTCATCTAGTTTTCCATGATTCTATTCTAGAACTTGAATAATTACAAGTCTCCTTATAATAATGATAATGGCAAGCATTTATTGATTGCTTACCATATGGCAGGCACTGTGCTAAGAGCTTTGCATACATAACACAATTTAACCCAGTAAGAGATACTAGTACCCCTATTCACGGAGGAGGAATATGAGGTGCAGTAACCAGCCCCAAGGCACCAGCTAGTAAGTGATAAATCTATGGCTCAAATCATGTCTATGAGAGTCTATCCTTATGTCTTAATGGATTCCTGCCTCCAGCCCCTTCCTGATTGGTCTATACTCCTTACTTTAATTCTGTTGCTGGTGTGCTCTTTGGAAATCCAAGCTGATCCGTTTCTTCTGCTTTAAGACAGCCAGTGGCTCCTCAGCATCTCCAGGTTGAGGCCTGAGGCTACAGGACACTCTGCAATATTATTTCTCTGCTGTCTCACCCCACGAACACCCTCACTGCTCCCCAAACTCTTTGCTGACCCTCCCTCCTCTGTAAAGCATCCCTTGCCCTTTCCCTTCCAGACAGGAACCTCCTCCTATGCAGCCTCAGACCCGTGTACATACATTTCAGCACTGACTGGTATGTTCCCCTCCCCCCCTTCCTCCTCCTGCTCCTTTTCCTCCTTCTCTCTCTCACTCTCTCTTTCACACACATACACACAAAAACTACAACAAAAACACACCCACTACCAATCCTGAGTTCCTGGAAGGCAAGCACAGTGTATTTTCATCTGATTCTCCAGTTCCTGCCTCAGTAGCAAGTTAGTAAGTGACTAAATGAATGGCATGTGGTGGTGCTAATACCTCACAGCTCTATCCCAATAAGCAGGTAAGACCTTTCCCCCAGAACATGCTAAAAAGAAGGGCAAGCTTATAGTAGCTCCTGTCCTCTCAGGCAAACTCAAGAAGACACGCTGCTTTCAGCAAAATTATTACAACTAAGATTGGTCCTCCACTATCTACTGGTACCCTCTCTCCAAGCCTCTTGAAAGCAAATCCAATCACCTCTAAAACTGCAAAAACTAAACCAGCTCCAGACCAAAAGACCTCAGAAGAACTGCCCTCTCAGATGAGAGATGAGGTAAAGTGATACCTTCCTCCCCCACCACCCTGCAATGGGCAAAGCATTCCAAAATGCAGACTGGTAAAAACAATGACTCTAATGAACAATAGAGGATCCTGACCCAGGGAGAGTCATCAAAGAAAAAAAGCTAGAGGCAGCAAAATCTAACCCTACTCTCTACCTCCAGGGCTATCTATAACTGGAGTCCAGGCCACAAATGGATGACAGCAACTACCTCATGTCTCCTTGCTCCCACTCTCATCCCACACCTGTCTACTTTCCAAAGAGCAGCCAGATGGTGTTTTTAAACTCTATCAATGATAAGGACACACTCCTGGATAACACCCTCCAACATCTTTCTACCCACTTGAAATAAAATCCAAACTCTACCAGGAAGTCCAAGGTCCACTCCTCACCCTATTTCTTTCTTTCTTTTTTTTTTTACTTATTTATTTGACAGAGAGACACAGTGAGAGAGGGAACACAAGCAGGGGGAGTGGGAGAGGGGGAAGCAGGCTTCCCGCCGAGAAGGGAGCCCGATGCGGGGCTCGATTCCAGGACCCTGGGATCATGACCTGAGCCGAAGGCAGACGCTTAACGACTGAGCCACCCAGGTGCCCCTCCTCACCCTATTTCATACCATTTTCCCTTTCGATTGCTACGTTCCAGATACAGAGGTCTGTTTCTTAGAACAGGCCAACCTCCAGGCCTTTTTCTATGCTGTCTTCCCTTGCGTGGAAGGCTCCTCCTCTAGCTTTTTACAGAGCTGGTTCCTTCTCAAGGCTCAGTTCAAACTTGACTTTTTAAAAGAGGCCTTTCCTGACCACTCTATCTAAAGTGTCACCCCTTTACCCACTCCATCACTCCCCATCAGGTCTTCTTCTTTTTTTAAGCACCCACCACCACTAGACAATATTATCTTCACTTATTTCCCTGTTTCTATCTTCTCTTGCATAAGGGTGGAAGCTCTCAAAAAAATTTTCCAGAGTATTTGTTGACCATCAGCAAAGGAGCATCCTCAGGATGGACTATTTTGTTCTTCTGTTAGAACGAAAAAAACATCTACTTAGCCTCTACTAGGTGCTGGGCACTGTAAATGCATGATCTTCCTTTTAAAGAGGTAAAATAACCAGTTCAAGGTCACGTGGCTAATGACTAGCAGACTTCTAAATTAAATACTTGTTTGTGCAGCTCCTCAACTCCTCTCACCTTTGCCTCCCTCTCTGGGGGGAGGCACTGTCACTCTATGGTTCACTCTCATACTGTCATAACACCAAAAGGATCAAATACTTCTAAACTGCTTTACAGTTATTAAAGCATTGTCACATTCACCCTAAGAATACAAAGCACTTGCCCAGAAAGCCATACAGCAACAGGAAGTATATTAAGCATGCCTCAAGGTTCACTATCCCCACCCTGACCCCCAGGAGTGGGGACTGGGAAGGAGTCACTGCCAATGGAGGAATGGAGTCCCTATTTCTGGTTCAGAGGGATGGGGAAGCCGTGAGTCACCCGTGAAGGCTTATGCTACCAGAAACTCTGATAAGACCTGGCTATGAGGCAACAAGCCGTGAATCACGAATCTGGAAGGCACTCGCTGATGGACGTGGAAAAGGAGGCCTCAAAGGGAAAGCAACTTGTTAAGTTCGCTCAGCAAGTAAACAGAGACGGAACCAGGGGTCTCCTCTCCCCCAGGCCCCTTTCCTCTCCACCAAGAAGGCTTCTCAAGGAGAATTCTGAGTCAGGAGGATGGGGAGAGGGCAGGGGCAGCTCATGGACTCCACAGAGGAGTCAGGGGAAGGCAGGGGTAGGACAAGGAAGGACACAAGAGTTAGGATGGGGGGCAGAAACGAGCCAATAAGAAAAAGACGGCAGTTTCACGAAGGTGGGTGAGGGCAGGCCTGAGAGAGGAGAAGGCGGAAGAGAACGGACTCCCAGGGAGGGCCGAGGGCAGTGCAGTGAAACCAGGGTCTGAAAGGGCCTGGCAGAGAGGGGAGAGCCTGAGGGGAAAAGGCAGGAATGCGAGTCTGACGGTGGAGGAGTCCAAGGCCCCAAGAGACACTCAAGGGAGCCAGACGGGGAGGTGTCCGGAAAGGCCTGAGGGGAGTCTGACCGGGGAGCGTTCTAGGGTCGGGCAGACCCTGGGGCGTGTCTGATGAAGGTGGAGTCCGGGCCCGGGGAGCCTAAGGAGAGTCTGAGGGGACCGGGCCGACTCACCGCGCTTGTTTTTGGTGCCGTGCTTCTTGGCGGCGGTCAGCTCCTGCTCGATCTTAGTCTCCAGGAATTCCTGCTTCTTACTTAGCATCTCCTCCGTGTCCCGCAGCCGCTGGATGGCATCCTGAGGGGTCGGGCCGCCCTTGCCGGCCTTGCCCCCTCCTGCCCCGAACAGTTTCCCGAACACCGACATGGTGGCTGCTCGCCACGCCGGCCTCCGCCGCCCACTTCGGCTCGGCTCGGCTCCAGCGCCCGCTCCCGGCCCCGCCGCTCCCTGCCTCCGCAGGCCTCTCCGCCGCCTCCGCCCCGCAGCTGGGCCCCGCCGCGCCACCTCCCACAGGCCCCCACGCCCGGCCCGGCCGGCGTCAGAGCAATACGTCGCTGACTACAACTCCCGGTGAGCAACGCGCCGGCCGTGCCTCAAATCTAATGGAAGGAAGCGCACTGCACGCCGGGAGACTATAGTCTTCCGGCTTGAGGCTCTCGTCGGCGCGTCTTTTTGGTCTAGCTAGAGTCAAAGGGCGAGGTGGCATGCTGGGAAATGTAGTCTCCTTGGAACCCGTCCTGTAGGGGTGGAAGGACAGGCAGAGAAATAACAGTATTTTTTAAAACATTAATTAGCGTTATGCACATTCTATGATACAGGTACTGTACAAAGTGCTTTACACGCATTATCCCATTTAATTCTCACAAGACTATGAACCTATAAACCTATGATACTGTTCCTATTTTGTAGGTGAGTAACCAAGTCTCGGAGAAACTGAGTGACTGACTAGCTTGACTAGCCCTGGCTTTCCATATTTTGTACCCTCTACCTAGAATGCCTTTCTACTCTTTATTCGCCTAACAGGTTCTTCGAAACCTAGTAGAAGCTAACAGCCTTGGCACTGGAGTGCAAGGGCTCAAAATGCATCTTTATGACTTACTTGGCCAAGTTACTTCCCCTACTCTGTGTGCCTCCCTGGAGATGATAACAACAAGACCACCTCCAAGCTTATGTGAGACAGGTAATGTAAAATGCTTACTGAGCATGGCCTAGCACTATAGGTGCTCAAAAATTTATTCCTTATCTTGGTCCTCGTTATACACAATAATAATTAAACTAGGAAGAGACCCAAAACTTCCAAAGTAGTAGAAGCATTGAAGAGTTTTTTGCCCCTGCATTTTACAGACTGCTGTAGTTGTGGGGCCACATTTTATTGTTTTCCCTTGTCCTTTGCTGTCAAGAATCACTTCTCCATCCATTAACAGTAAGGCAGTGTCTAGTAGCCAATACTTGGCCCAAGCTACCATTCTAATTTGCTGCTTCCAAACTTTTATTTGGAAGCCTTGTTACTTGTCACTTAGACTTGTATGAAAGCAAAGAGTAAACCAGTTCTGAGTGAGGGTCTGATGTGCTCTCCAATGAAGAAAAACATAGCTTCTCAAAGTCCTTTTTTATTCCTTCCTGGACCTTCCAAATATGTGAAGTTGCTTGGGAACAGTTTCAAATAAATGAGAGCTTGACTGAATTTTTTTTATTATATCACATACAAGTCTTGTCTCCTCAGACTATGATCTACATGTAGATAAAAACATGCCTCAGATGTTGTTGTTCTTGTTGTAATCAATGACAATCCCAGCCTGCATATACAGGGAACAATTCCCAGAGGATGGGAGAGTTTATTTCACCCAACTTTCCAGGTTGGAAGACATTTTTCAAATGTGAGAGACATGCCAGAACTATCAAGATTCACAGCAGCATAAATTGTGAAACATAAGTCACACTTGTGCTTGTTTTGTAATTGAGGTATTGCAATGTTTTTATCAAAATAAAAAATATAAATAAGGAGACTTCAATCAAGCCACCTCACGGGTACAGCAATTCCTCCACATCTAAGCAATCCACCTCCTCCCCTCTTATTTAAGTCATGCTGTAATCAGACATACAGGTAGCAAAAGATTTGCTGGGTTTGAGCCATGACCCAAAGAATATATGAACAGAAGACACTAGAGGCCTTACCACCACCAGTCTTATACTGCTGTGGGATAAACTGAGGATGATAGCAGAATCCCTCATGTCATAACGTTGAGAGCCCAGAAAAACATCTTAGGAATATGATAACAGAACATTTAGATTTAATCTTGAGTATCAACCCCAATTAGTTGGTGTAGGCTACTCAGATTACTGGATTGAGAAGAATTTTGAGGCTGCATCAGGACTCCCTGAAAAATGTGCTGAGATCTATTTATGATGTCTGTCTGGAGTGTGGGATAGGAAGTGGTGATATAAGGGCACGATAGCTGCGATCCTGGCTGAGAATCCAACTGCCTTGGTAGAAATTCATATGGTGGGCTGATTCAACACAGGAGAGCCCTGAATTTCCTTGGACTTCATTTTTCTGGTCTCTTGGGCAAATGCACAGCCTTTTCAAGCCATGACTGACTAGCATTAAAAATTATGTGAAAAGAATGACTAATCATTACATGCAACAACTTGGAAGATTTTTAGATATTCTGCTGAGTGAAAGAAATCAGACACAAGCCTATATAATTCCATTTATACAGAGTTCGAAAACAGGCAAAACGAATCTATGGTGATAGGTGTTAGAATAGTGGTTACTAGGGCACCTGGCTGGCTCAGTTGGAAGAACATGTGACTCTTGATCTCTGGGTTGTGAGTTCAAGCTCCACGCTGGGTGTAGAGATTACTTAAATAAATAAATATTAAAAAAAGAATAGTGGTTATCTTCAGGGGCGGTATAGACCAAGCAGAATGATCTTTATGGGGTGCTGGACAGGTTCTATATCAAGATCTAGTGGTATTTATGTGGGTGTATACAAATTTACCTGTCTTCATAATTAAGACCACTGCCCTTTACATACTTTATATACTTTACTAAATAAATGTTATATTGCAATTTTTAAAACTTCTCTGGTAAAAACAGCAACAGAAGCATACAGTTTTTGTTTGCAAAATACTTTCACAAACAAAATCTCATCTTATCTCCAATCACCAAAGCCCTAAGAAATAAGCATTACTATACAATCTTCATCTTACCGTTGAAGAAATTGAGGCCCAGAGAATAGAAATTGCCCAAGGTCACATGGTTAAAGACTCTCAAACATATATTTATTTGTAACCTTCCTTAAAAATGTCATCAAGAGGGGCGCCTGGGTGGCTCAGCCGTTAAGCGTCTGCCTTCGGCTCAGGTCATGGTCCCAGGGTCCTGGGATCAAGCCCCGCGTCGGGCTCCTCACTCGGAGGGAAGCCTGCTTCTCCCTCTCCCTCTCCCCCTGCTTGTGTTCCCGCTCTCGCTGTGTCTCTCTCTGTCAAATGAATAAATAAAATCTTAATAAATAAATAAATAAATAAAATGTCATCAAGAAAAATTGAGTTGGGGCGCCTGGGTGGCTCAGTCGTTAAGTGTCTGCCTTCGGCTCAGGTCGTGATCCCAGGACCCTGGGATCGAGCCCCACATTGGGCTCCCTGCTCCGCGGGGAAGCCTGCTTCTCCTCTCCTACTCCCCCTGCTGTGTTCCCTCTCTCGCTGTGTCTCTCTCTGTCAAATAAATAAATAAAATTTTTTTAAAAAAGAAAGAAAAGATAGGGGCGCCTGGGTGGCTCAGTCGTTAAGCGTCTGCTTTCGGCTCAGGTCATGATCCCAGGGTCCTGGGATCGAGTCCCACATCGGGCTCCCTGCTTGGCAGGAAGCCTGCTTCTCCCTCTCCCACTCCCCCTGCTTGTGTTCCCTCTCTCGCTGTGTTTCTCTCTGTCAAATAAATAAATAAAATAAAATAAAGTTTAAAAAAAAAAAGAAAGAAAAGATAAATTGAGTTAATAAAACTTATAATAGGTTTCAAATTATGAATAAAAAAATTCTTATGAAACTTGGTCTCATGTAATTATACCAAATCAAATAGCGGATTTGCTGATTTTTAACTGTAAAAAACAAGTACATCCGGGACGCCTGGGTGGCTCAGTCGGTTAGGCGTCTGCCTTTGGCTCAGGTCATGATCCCAGGGTCCTGGGATCGAGTCCCGCATCCCGCTCCTTGCTCCCAGAGGATCCCGCTCCCTGCTCCCTTCTCCCTCTGCCTCTGTCTCTCTCTCTGTCTCTCATGAATAAATAAATAAAATCTTTAAAAAAAAAAAAAACCACAAGTACATCTAATACCCCCTTCCTAATAAAAACACTCAACAAACTAGGAATAGAAAAGAACTGCTCAATCTGATAAAGAACATCTATGAAAAAACCCACAGCTGGGGCACCTGGGTGGCTCAGTCATTGAGCGTCTGCCTTCAGCTCAGGTCATGATCCCAGGGTCCTGGGATCGAGCCCCGTGTCATGCTCTCTGCTCAGCGGAAAGCCTGCTTCTCTCTCTCCCACTCCCCCTGCTTGTGTTCCCTCTCTCGCCGTGTCTCTCTCTGTCAAATAAATAGATAAAATCTTAAAAAAAAAAACAACCCACAACTAACATCACACTTAATGGTGAAAGACTGAGCCTTGCCCCTAAAATCAGGAACAAGCAAGGATGGCTGCTCTCATCACTATTTGACATTGTACTGGAGATTCTAGCCAGGGCAATTAAGTGAAAAAAGAAATAAAAGGCATCCAGATCAAAAAAGAAGTAAAACTATTTCTGTTTGCAGGTGACATGCTCTTCTATATAGAAAACCTAAAAGAGGGTGCCTGGGTGGCTCAGTTGGTTAAGTGTCTGCCTTCGGCTCAGGTCATGATCCCAGAGTCCTGGGATCGAGCCCCACGTCGGGCTCCCTGCTCATTGGAGAGCCTGCTTCTCCCTCCCCCCCTGCCCCTCCTCCTGCTCATTCTCTCTCTCTCTCTCAAAATAAATAAATAAAAATCTTAAAAAAGAAAACCTAAAAGAATTCACAAAAAACTCTTAGAGCTAAAAGCGAATTTGGCAAAGTTGTGGGATACAAGATCAACACACAAAAATCAGTTGTATATTTGGGGCACCAAATGCTCAGGTCATGATCTCAGGGTTGTGAGATCAAGTCCCACATCGGGCTCGGTCTTCTCGCGGGCTTAGGATTCTCTCTCTCTCTCTCCCTCTGCCCACCCTCCCCCCACTTGCACGCTTTCTCTCTCTTTCTCAAAAAAAAAGGGGAGGGACCCCTGGGTGGTGCAGTCGGTTAAGCATAGGAGTCTTATTTTTGGCTCAGGTGCTGATCTCAGGGTGCTGGGATTGAGCCCTGCATCGGCTCCAGAAGTCTGCAAAAGTTTCTTTCTCCCTCTCTCTCTGCCTCCCCCCATGCTCTCTCTCTCTCTCTCAAGTAAATAAATAAATCTTTTAAAAAATCTGTTGTAGGGGCACCTAGGTGGCTCAGATGGTAAGCGTCTGCCTTCGGCTCAGGTCATGATCCCAGGGTCCTGGGATCGAGCCCTGCATTGGGCTCCTGGCTCAGCAGGGAGCCTGCTTCTCCTTCTCCCTCTGCCTCTCCCCCTGCTCATGTTCTCTCTCTCTCTGTATCTGTGTCTCAAATGAATAAAAAAAAAAAAAATCTTAAAAAAAAAAAAAAAATCCGGGCGCCTGGGTGGCTCAGTTGGTTAAGCGACTGCCTTCGGCTCAGGTCATGATCCTGGAGTCCCAGGATCGAGTCCCGCATCGGGCTCCCTGCTCAGCAGGGAGTCTGCTTCTCCCTCTGACCCTCCTCCCTCTCATGCTCTCTGTCTCTCATTCTCTCTCGAAAAAAAAAAAAATCCGTTGTATTTCTATACATTAGCAGAGAATAATCTGAAAATGAGATTAAAAAAAAACATTCCGGGGCGCCTGGGTGGCTCAGTCGTTAGGCGTCTGCCTTCGGCTCAGGTCATGGTCCCAGGGTCCTGGGATCGAGCCCCGCGTCCGGCTCCCTGCTCGGCAGGAAGCCTGCTTCTCCCTCTCCCACTCCCCCTGCTTGTGTTCCCTCTCTCGCTGTGTCTCTCTCTGTCAAATAAATAAATAAAAATCTTTAGGGGCGCCTGGGTGGCTCAGTCCTTAAGCGTCTGCCTTCGGTTCAGGTCA